ATCCCACACAAAAAGGCAGATGAATGAGAAAAAAAAAAGGTAGTTTATTAACTTACATTTTCCAACTTAACTTTGCCACCTAATTTCCAAGATTGTTGTTTAGCTCGACCACAGCAACAGATTTCAACACCACGAAGAATTCATGTTGCTTTACATTCGCGAGGTCCAATCCAAAAAGTAACTATATTATTAAAAGATCTCTTTAAAATGCTTTCCTAATCTTTCGCTTCTATCTTAACCAGTTCGTCGGCTTTCAAATCTAAATCCTATACTTTTGAATCATTTTTGTTTGGTTTAAAATTACGACCAAGACTTATATCAGTCTTTTTGATTAGTACACTTGTTTGCTCAGCGAGAAAAGGCTTGTACTTGTACTCAAATGGTTTGCCAATAAAGTAACTTTATTGGTTGGAATCCGTGAACCAATCAACCACCGGGCCGAAGACGCATAAGTCGGAGTCCGCTTGGAGTTATTTGAGGTCTTGTAGAGTCCCTGCTAACAAGAATTTGACTGAGCCGACGCTTAGGATGTCTGTATAGATTGCTTTCTCCTCTTGTTGGCATTCTTGTGAAAAGCTTGATACAACTCTCTTAAGTTGGCAAGAAAGCGAGAACTATCCAGAGAACCTGACACGAGGTATCTTCCCACATATCCAATGTTTGCGTCCCATCCACCAGTTTAAGTGCATATTCTGACTCGGGTTTCATTTGAGAGCCGTTCCCTAGTTCTTTACCAAAATTTTTTGAGTGTATCGGAAACGGCCTCTTCCATCTTTTTTTCTACATGAGAAGCATTAAGGACGTCTGCGTACGAGGCTAACTTGGGACATGTCTAGGTATAAATGAAAGAAAAATGTGTTTACACACTGAGAAATTTTCATATGACTCCGACGAAAGTTTATCAGCTACTTATCAAGGTCATTAAGTCCCGCCTTGAAGAACGAATTTACTTTGCACATCACTGACACTGGTTGTCTGTCGTAACATTTCACATGTCAATCTTTTGGACAAGTGGTCAGTTAATGAAGAATTTCGATTCTCAAAAACTGATTGGAATAAAGGTATAGCTGTGTGTGTGTATGTTTTGCTCGGCTGTTATCTAGCGCTAATTCAGTATCTAACGGCTGCGAGAACCCGGGTTACAATAAAAACTGATAGGTAGGTTACATCATACAGTAAGTATTCTTCATGATTGAATTAAATTTTTTATTAACAGAAGATTCAGCATGATAAAATGTAGCTGTTCTTTGATTTTGTGACATCCAGATATGTTTACCAGGCGTGTTAAGTCACGAGAATTGTACCTTGGCACAGCTAAGATATTGATGGTTTTGTAAAACTTCTTTGAATCACCTAAACTCCAAAATTCGTACTATACATATAAGCTATGTAACAGCGCGAGGTTTTAAAGAAATTACTTATGCGACGTTAGCGTAACCAGCTATAACCACCCACTATTAATGTTATAGTCTTCCAAGCTACAATCAACACTACAAGTTCGAGGCCATAACAGAATCAAAAGTCGAGGTAATATTGTCGTCAGAAAATATAGCTCAGTTCTCTAAAGCCACTTTTTGAAAAGCGTTATGAAAAATTAAAGTCTGCTAAACTATTTGTAGAATGTTATTTACAGACCGTAAGTTAGCGAGCGACTAATTAAAGACGCCTTTTTTACATGTCAACCATTGACATTGCAAGCATAAAGACTTGATCATTTCATTTAGTCCATTGTCATTATCAACATCATCATCCATAATCTGCTGTTATTTGTTTTCTAGATAAAAAGTCACGATTAGATTCAATTTAATCTCTGGAAGACACAACTTCACGAAAGGTTAATTAGTTTTTGACGTCACTCATGTTATTGCAGTGTTGAAACAGTGTCCTTGTTTTTCCTTAGCGACCTAAAAATGTATTTGTATAAAGAGCTGTCTATAGTGTTGCAAAAGAAGAACCATTTCGCACTAATTTATGAAGACCGCAGGGCAAATATTTAACTTTTGGTCTTCATCTAACAAATGTCAAATTTATTTCAATTTTGTTACACTTTTATGACACGTGCCACATCACACGAAAGCGAGCATCGTTCAGTTGCAAAAGGGTCACTGCTTTCATGTTTGTTCACGATCAGTTTGCATTGTTATGTACGGTAACGAGGGGCTTGTGGCATCTTGTCCCACCTCAACAGGAACGTACTTGTCTTACTATCGCGTTGCAGAGTTATGCAACTTAAGTCGCACAGTTGTTCTTTTTTGGCGCTAGCGCTATTTCTGATTGGACAACAAGAATCGGTAACCACTCGTGTGCATCTACAAGGAGCTAAGGCTATGTTAAATTCGCCACTAGATTCTAGTTGCATAGCACATATAGAAATTGATTTAGAAGTAGAGTTGAATGTAACACTAGACGGAAAGCTGTTGCTTGGTGCAGGTTATTTAACGGCACAAATTCGACACAAATGTTTAAAGTGAATGAACTAATATATCAATTACCCTCATTTGAGCATACGTGGAAGCCCTTATCCCTTATGTCATCATCAGCTCAGTATTTTTTTTAAATAAACTTTTGTAACATACCATACAGCCAGTTACATAACTTACACCACTAATACTTGCACAACTAACATTACAATACATCTACGTGTACAGCTTAAAATACAGACACAGCTACTTTTCATTGCTTGCAATACCTATAAGTTACTTTACATTGATTTCGATCAGTACACTACAATGCTCATATAGCTACTTAACACTATTTATACAATATTAGCAGCAATATCAGCTCAGTATACCGTCCTGACATGCGGGCAAGAATGGCAATGATCATGACAATGATCTTTATTGAGGATACCGACTTCACTTAGAGCTAGTGACATACAGAAAGGTTCTGCAATACTAAAAACATTGATGAAAGTAATAATTTCCATGATAACAGTTTTAAAAAATGAACAATGACATGTGGTACCCTTATACATCAATATTAACGAACATTTGTGTTGTCCAAACAGAGCTAGCCCCGGAAACCACACATGGATTTGTCTACGCTGTTGTGTCACTTCATAATCCTCACTGCTTGTGATATTGGTAAGACATTTTTCGTCATGTATGCTTCCGCTAAGGCCCCTCATTGAACAAATAAAAACTCACGAATAATGACAAGAAAATTAAAGTTCCATTGCACAAGTTAAAAACAGCTGGCGAGTGCTGATAGCTTGTATTCGTTGCTGCAAAAGCGGAGCAAGGAGGAGAAGGTCTGCATCCGGGACATGAGAACGATGAAGCTGATTATCCCGTCATTGCACGATCCATTTAAGCTGTGATCATACATGCACCAGTGAAATAATCAAGCAAGTACTTTTTTCACAAAGTCAATATTAAGATATTAACAAAAACTATGAAAAAAGACTTTTTTATTGGAGGGCACGGATCGTGCTGAGGAGCTTGGTTTGCTTTCTGTAGCACGCTGGATGAATTACTTAACCGTAGTCTTTCTGGTGTTTATTTGCTTGTCTCTACTTTCTTTCGTGCTTCTTAAAAAAGTGATCAAGAACATATATTGTTCTAGCAACTTTTTCCCGACAGTTTCATAACAACTTTTCTTGAGTTCATTAACCATGCTTTGGATCTCCGGCATGATTTTAATATCAGTAAAAGCCTATACTAAGAATTATATACAATAGAAATCAATGCCTCAAACACTGCTTTATGACCCGTAAAGTCTAGTCTTTAGTACAGCCTTGTAAATTATTTACAGGTATCTTTCAGTTGCGATGTTCAAGCGTGCAATTTTGAGATAATTTTGAACTAAATAGTTTAATATGTCATTCAAAGGGGGATTCGTGAGGTCAGAAGTAGTGGACAGTGACAAGCCGGGATTTGCTGCCCAATTCAAGCCGGTATGAACCTTTGGAACATCAAAAGTGGAAACATAGTTGCTACATCTCTACATCTGTAACATTTCTGCAGAAACATTAGTTCCCTGAATGGTTTTCCATTTGCGCGAACTTTTTTACATTTGTACAGAAGCAAATTTAATTTGTCTCCTTGAAGCCAAAAAAATAAGTTGACTTTTCTGGAAGCAATTTGCTTCCGTACGTAGTAAATATTTAGGCCTATATACATGTACGCCAGGTGTTATTATTCTTGTTATTACTATGATTATTATTAAAACAATTTTAGAAAATAATGTTTCTGTACAATTGCCCCCCCCCCTAAAATATTGTGAATTGCTTCTCTACAAACGAAATATTGTTTTATACAAACATTGGGCCATTTTAAACAAAAACTGATGAAACTCTTGGTCTAAATACTTTAAAAGCTATGTGTTTTAATTTGTGTGCGCATTTCGGTTAGTCAGCATAATTTTCTTTATTTTAACAGGATAATCTCCATTTACGTTTGAAAAGAAGTGAACTGGAACGATATTTTGGTGTAAGCTCACTGAAGGAAGGTATATAATGGTTTTCTGACCTCGTGATCACTAGTGCAGTTTAACAGTAGCTATAGCCAATGCTAAGAAGACTCTGTAGACACAAGTACATGTACACGTTATCGAACGTTTCTCTTTTTTCTTTCTCCTTGTTTTTACACAGTACCAGAATACGAAGTCATTTCTCCCATTCAAGTTGATGACGACAACAGGTTTCTTTCGCAAAATCTTAACATTCACGCAAGGCAGAAAAGACACGCGGAAGAGCCAGGTGTCTGGTACTATAATGTCAAAGCTTTTGGTATGTCGCTCCATCTCAACCTTACTAAGAATGAAGAACTCATGTCACCATGGATGACTGTTGAGCGACACGAGAATGGAACAGTTACAAGCGAGGATCCGCCGCACAATACCTTTTTCAATGGTCACGTGAATTCGGAACCTGGATCTTTGGTTGCCGTTAGTAATGGGAATGGACTAGTGAGTAGAAAAGAGCATTTTTGTGGAAGAGGCGTCAGATCGTCTGCCATCTGACAAAATAACTCTGGATGAACACTGATGTATGCAATATTTACTAATTCAACTTTAAATCTTAATCATTACTAGTCATTTTACTAAGTAGAATTAAATGACGTAGGTGTCATGTGGTATAAATGTAAACGGTCACAACGACTTGTCAGAATGAGCAAATGAGCCTACAAGTTACGTATTCAAAGGAAGATCAGTCAATTCCACCCAAGATCTTCATGATCTTCTTGATCTTTCCTACACGTAACTGAAGCTTAGTCATTTATTTCAATTGTCATTTTTGAGCGTGCAATCTTACCAAGCCAACACAGATTCGTTTCTATAGGATGACTAAACACTTGTTATTTTTTGTTCCTTCAGATGGGTATAATTCAGCTAATGGACCAAACACTGTTCCTTCAACCACTCGCCAGCCACCTTGTAACTGACGGCAATGCTAAAGTAAACAACCACCTCATATACAGACGTTCAATTGACGAGAAAAATACACCAAAACGATACAAAGGTAGTTAAATAAGGAACGTTTATATCGGGATAGTGTTTACAAATCCAGTCTAGATCTGCACATGTAAATTTTATCCAGTGAATACTTCATTTGAAGGAAGTTAGTTCATTGCAACTTTCCTTTTAACTCAAAGTATCCCCCAGGGTCAAACGTTTCAAACGATAAAAATACACACACATGTACAACTTATGCAGCTGTGATATTTAAGTTGAAAATCACGATGATAATTCATGTCTTTACATATTTCTCCGATGTTCAATGCCGTTTTGTTACACTTTAAGTGTCTTTTGGGCCTACTGGGTTTTTGCGGTTTTTAATTGGCATCTCTGTAACTTTACATGTACCAGCCTAAACAAGTATACTATTTGTTACCGTTATTATTCCGCCAATTCTTTTAAACTGAACTTGGTTAACTTGAACTTCAAAGTTAGGCAGTCGTTTTCGTCATGCATAAAGCTCTTTTTAGTCAAGACCAAAACGTTAGATAAAAGAATGGGATTGGAGAAGATTGAGACGGATTACCAAAGAGAAACTTGAAAACAAAAACAATAAAAACTTGTTTCCTTTCCAGCAACAGAAAGCTGGCCACATTTACAAGACTTTCCTTAAAATAATTTCATTTCATACCTCAATTTCTTCATTTAAAGAATTGTTATCAGAAGCCAGAGAAAAGAAAGATGTGACCTTTGCCAAGGAGTCTCAGAAGAGAAGCAAAGGCAGTGACGATGATGATCTTAAGTACCTTGAGATGACCCTAGTAGCTGATAAATACACATTATCATTTCACGGCGACGGTACTACTAAATATTTGCTGATGCTTGCAAACCTGGTAAGTTTTAAGATGCATTCACAAATCTACATTCATAATCTCATTGATCGAACTTAGCTGTTAGAAAATTTTACAGCATTAATTGCCGGAAGATTTTACAACAAAATCATCAGGCTAGAAAACAGTAAAGTAACAATATTTTTACGTTATCTGTATAGACAGACTATAGTCTATCCGATGAAGGCAGGTTATGTTGCATCAAAATTAAAGACACCGTAAACTTGAAACGTCATTCTGACTGAGTAGGCAGAAAACGGAACGCAAAGTTGTAAGGAAAAAAAGCATGTTTTACCTGCGAGGTTTTAGTTAATTTGGGACAGTGTCCAGTCATATATTGGACGGCAATAGACCAAAACATGGCCATAACCCACAGACGTTTTGACAATATTATGAACTCCTGCCTGGCGGAAAATTTTGATCTGTATTTCCATGAGGGTAGCAAAGTGGGGTACCAATCACGCATCACGCTGAATTTTTCTATTAATTCACGCATCACGGAGAACGTTTTTTCACCAATCACGCGTCACGTAAAAAGAAGTAAGTACGTCGCCAATAATATCGCTTTCCCGACCCTAAAAGCGTCGTTAAAAAAAGAGCTTTGCCGATTCAACCACAAAAATGCATCGCCAAATATGTAACCTCTCATGCGAAAACGTTCCTTACGACATCCGTTTAAACGGCTGAACACACGTCAAGTAAACTAGCCTAATACAGGGATTATTCGAAATTTGATACTCTCAAATTCCGTAATGATTTAGCCAAGCTCCCTTGGGAAGCTCTGAAACATTACGATGATCCTGAAATTTTGTGGAATACCTGGAAAAATATGTTTCTTTCTGTAGCTGACCAACACGCTCAGCCAAAAACAAAGCGAGTTCGTCAAAAGGCTTCTCCTTAGTCACTCGTGACATCAAGGCACTTATTGTCAAGAGAGACAGAGCTAAATTAAACGCTCGAAAACGTCATGATTCCAAACTTTGGTCAGAATACAAATCGCTTAGAAACCAAGTTAACAGAGAGATTAAAAATTCAAACACAAACCGCTTCTACAACGCTTTTCAAATTCTCTGAAAACTCAAGTAATCCCAAAGAAATTTGGAAAACAATTAATTCAATTACCAAAAGAACTCTATTATCCATGTTTTTTTAACCTTTAAATTCATTGCATCCGCATTTTGACAAAGCGATTGTCAGAATTTCGACTTAACTTTGTTTTTTTGGTTTTTTAGTAAAATTTCTAAATAAAGCAATTTTAGTACCTCCAGTTATCCTTGATTAACTTTTGATCTCGTATTGCAGCTCAACACTATATATCATCACGATACTATCGGCAAGAAGAAAATCACCATCTCAGTTGTGCAAATTAAACTTGTAAAAGATGGAGTAAGTCAATTTTTTTTTTCAAGATTCCAATGTTGTTATTGCCAGAAAATACATTTCCGAGTGACGTTGCACCTCTGTTTCAAAACGAGTCTTCGTGCAAAACTTTTCATATGAAAATAAGTTTGACTTACATGAAAATGAATGAAAGATGGAACACAGTTTCGTGTGAATGAAAACAACACAGTGGCACCGGCCAGGACTCGAACCCGGACTTAGGCGAATCTTTGTTTACACTTTTTGCCTCATTAACATATGCTTATCGTTATCTGATGACGCTAATAAAAGAAAAACTCTGAATATTGAAAGGGCACAACAGTTTCAGTTATCTCTGAAAATTCGAGCCCAATACACGGAATGGTTTCGGAGAAATTCTCTTCTAAAAACTCGAAATTTTACAGAGAAATGTATGGCTCATTAACTTTTTT